GGCCCCTGCGGGCGGCTGGTCGGCGCGTGCAGCCCGGGACAGGGAGAAGCTGGTCTGGGGACGTGTCCTCGTGGGGAGCTCCTCCCCGCGAGTCTCCGAGGTTAAGGAGTTCGCGCACCCTGGAAGCCCCAGCCTAAAACGACCTGTTGCTTTAAGCGGCGCGGTGGGGAGCCGCGGGACACTCCTGGTTCTGGTTTTGCATTAGAAAGAGGGCGGCCGACCAGATGTTGTGGCTTTTTTCACGAGCTCCGCCGATTGCCACCCCGCCGCGAAGCGTGTTAATTTCTGACGTGGGCGACACCACGCACTGAACCTGAAGGTAAGGCGCTTTCTGAAACTCCCCACTTCTGTCCCGGCTGGCTCCTGGGCATTGGGGTCCCAATTGAGAAATACTCTTTTTCTTTCTCCTTTGACCCCCTTGTCTCTTTCATTCTGCGACCCTGCTTCGACGCTGATCCAGTCCGTGGGGAATACAGAGTTTATAAAATGACTTTAAAAGCGTCAGCTTCTGGAAATGCAGATAATCGTCCACAGCATGTTTCCTGTAGCGTGATGAGTCTTTTTCCATAAAAGAAACAGATTTTTTTTTTTTTTTTACCCTTGCAAACTCCTGATTGGGCCGCCCACGGACGCAGGTGATCTTGCAGCGACTCAGATTGTCGCAGTGGGATTGAGCCAGCGCTCAGGACTGGAGGCATCTCCTTTAAGTGTTAACTGAGGCCCAAGGGGGTCTTCCTGCCCTAATGGACTTCTTAAAGGGACCCTGGGTGGAGCTTTAGTTGTTCCAAGTTAAAAATTCAACCCCTAGGAAAGGGTTCCCTCGACCAATGACAAGACATCAGTTCAAATAAATGGACATGGAATTTTTCAACCAAATGACTCATTTTTTTAATTAGGCTAAAGGTCAATGACTCTTGGGTACTGTCCCAAGGCATTTGAGGATGTGGTGTCATTCCTGGGGCTTATCGAAGTGATAGAGAGATACCAGCTTCGAGGTCCTTATTTTTGTAAGGCCTTTACTGATTTGAACTACAATCAAGCAACTTTTTTTTTTCTTCTTGGTGATTGTTGTAATGACTCACTCGGTTTTCTTTAGCAGAAATAGCAAAAAGGTGTTCTTTGACGGGTTTTTTTTTTTTTTTTTTGGGAGGGTTTTGCCTTAAGGGGGGTGTCCCCGC